CAGTGAGAATTAAAAAATTCACGGGCATTATCAGTCTAAATACGTTGAACTGAGAGATTAAACTGTGTTTGGACCATGGATAAGAAATTCCTAATGTGGGTGAGTGTTTGAGTTTTGGATTGCATGAGAAATACCCAAGTCCCATGGGAAAAATCATCGACGATGGTTAGGAAATATTTAGACCCATCATGGTTGGATGTGTGGTAAGGTCCCTAGATGTCTATGTGATTTAGGGAAAAAATGCGTGTAGTGCTAGTAGTGTGGGTGGGAAATTTTTGTCTTGGTTGTTTTGCGAGAGGACATATGGGAAAAGAAGGTTGAGGAATAGACGCACTATGACCCAATTGTTGATGCTTAATAAAAGAATCTTTATTGAGATTTGTATTACAATGAGATAGCTTATTGTTCGTAATACAAGTTATGGAATTTTGAGGTTTTTCAACAGAATCTCTTATCTAATAATAAAGACCACTATGGATTTTACTCGAGCCCATTTGTTTCCAAGTCAAACAGTCTTGAAATTCACATATGTTAGGGAAGAATTTTAAAAAACAATTGTTATCTTGACAAATTTTGGAAACAGATATAAGGTTAAATCGAAAAGCTGGAACGAACAAAACATTTTTAAGAACTAAATGTTTTGTAAGGTGGATGGTTCCTAACTGTGTGGCTGGGGCGATGGTCCTATTAGGCATACGGAAAAAGGTGGATGATTTTGTGGATGTGTGAGAAAAGTGTTTAGGATTACACACAATGTGGTCACTAGCTCCTAAATCAATTATCCAGATATCATCTTTTATAAAATTAAAGCAATAAGATGTACCTGCATAGGATGCCATATTTGCCCGAAGAATTTTATTGAGGAGCTGGAGTATCTGTTGGTATTGATTCAGGCTGATTATGGGTGCTGAATTTCCATTTCTAGAATTTTGAACCACTTGATTTGCCACCGAATTCCCACTATCTTGATTTTGAGGGCGTTCGTGTAGTCTCCAACAAGTAACACGGGTGTGATTTCTTCTTCGACAATGATCACACCATAATTTGCCCCTCCTTCCTGGATTTAGAGGTTCCTGGCCCATTAAACCCATTAGTGGATCCATTGCTTAAATAATGGCCAGTGGGCTGATGAAAAATAGGCCCATTTGTGTGGTGATTTTGGGCTAAGGATTTTTGGCCGTTAGATTGGATGGACTAATATGAACCATTCAAGCCTTTATATAAAATTTTTCTTTCTCCCTTAGAAAACCCTAGCCTTTCTTCATTGTTGCCCTTACCCATTTCTCTTCTCTCATCAAACGGTAAACTTGTCTACTACTACTGCGGCTGCCATCCTTGTGGAGTGATGGTGAAGGTCGTGGGTGCAACACTATGGTGAGAGTCTTGGGTGGTCAGCCTTTGACTCTCATCTTGAACGGCCAACTGATAAGTTCGCCGGAGAGATGGCGACGGTGATGTTGCTAACATCTATGTTCTAAATGGCAAAAAAACTTTCGTTTAAACCCATTAGGAAATGTATTAAATGGTCTTGATCCTTTAACTTTTAGATCTGTTGAAGAATCAATGTTGGTGCCTCAATCAGTTCTACGACGGCATCCAATTCATTCCAAATCGCCGAAAGGTGATTGAAATAAGTTGTGACAGAGAGATTGTTTTGCTTGATGTCAGCCAAACTTTGCCACAAAGTGAAAAGCTTTACAAGGTCAAGATGGTCGTACATCTCCCTAATATTTTTCCACATCTCTTGAGCATTCTCTATCTGTGAAAGGCCAGTGGCAATCTCCTGGGTCAAGGAGTTGCTAATCCATGCACGAACGAGTGTGTTGCACCGATTCTAGTATTTGAGAAGGGTATTGTCCACTGGTTTGGGAAGGGTGCCGTCGATGAACCCCTCATTGTCCTTTGTGATTAACGCTCGCCGGAAAACTCTGGCCTATGTTGCATAATTGGTGGATCCCGTGAGTGGTTGCTTGACGAGGACAATTTCGGATCCATCGGACACCGACGAGTAAAAAGGATCACCTGGTTCTAGCCGGTTGGTAGTGGTTGGGACAATTTGGAATATCGGGTAGGGGTTTTGACTCGATGGGTTAACATTTTGACCTGTGAACCCGATTGGGTTTGAAACGGTTTGGTTTTTTTGGTGAGCTGGGCCTGAATTTGGGTCTGATCCAATGATTGGATCTTGGCGAGGGGGACTGGTTTGGAGATGGGCCTGGTCTAAGTGTTGTGTTATGGGCTCATTTGTGGTTGTGGTAGCTAGGTTGTTGATACTGTGTTCTGGTGTGGGTGGTGTGTTGGTTGAATCCATTCAATTACAATCTGTAGATTGAGTGGTTTTTTAGAAGAGAGATAAACTAATCCGAGTGTCTTTGTTTTGCAGGTTCTGGAAAACTTAGCTAGAGAGGATTGTTTGGCGGAAGCTGGACTAGGTTGCTTACTCTGATGCCATGCCAGAAACCAAATTGGAAGAGACAAGAGATGCAATCAAGTTGCTAGAGAATGCCAGAGAAGAATAGAGAAGAGAAGAATAATACTTTTTGTATATATCATTATAGTTTTACAACCATGTATTTATGCAATAATCTGTGAGTAAATAAAATGAATGTAATCAAATGTAATTACTACACAATAAGAATGGAAATCAATCAATTACAGAAAATCAGTAATTAGCCTTATTTATATTTAGGCATGTGTATGATATCTTTGATTGGGAGGAAATATAGCATTCCATATCACATCACCCATCTCTGGGTATGCAAGTTACATTGTGAAAACGATAAAGGAAGACAGAGAAGAAAGCAACCATTTTTGCCTTTTATTACACATCTATTTTAAAACAGAGCAGTGAGTCCATGATATTGTGTTGAAGATCCTTAAAGAAAACGCTATAGCTTTCACGATGAAGTGGTGCATACATATCCGCAAACAACTGCATGCGTATATGTCACTATGCCATAAACTTCAGGTTTCCTTATTAAATCTCTAAGATTAACTAGGAAGGTAGAAAACGAAAATGATGGTTCACAAGTGGCTACAGCTTTCTTCACGTGTAGGATCACCATTCATATGGAAAATATGTAATTTCGTTTTTCAGTTGGGAGAACGACATGATCCCACCCAAGATTTGGCGAAACGACACTTGTCCACCTGTCAACTTTCAAAATGACACTTCCCATCCTTCGTCAGATTCTGTTAATGTTTTTAGTTAATATTTGATTGAAAAGATGAAAATACCCTCAAATAGTTTTTTTCTTAATTAATTTATTATAAATTAAAATTTAATTAAGACAAAGTCTTTACTCTCGATTATTTATTAGTTCAAGTGTAAATATATATTTTTTCCTTTGTTTATTTAATTAATTAAGAATATTGATTTTATGTGTTAATTAGTAAAAATGAAAAACATTATATTATGAAAAACATTATAAATTTAGTAGGTTATTAAATAATAGTGATGAGATATTAATGAAATTATAAATAAATAAATATTAAGGTTTTTTAACTTTAAACGATCCCATAGCATTACTCCTAACTTTTTAGATGGGGTTAATTATTATTATTATTATTTACTTTTTAATATTTGACTTTTTGACTAATTAAAAAATAATAAAAAATTTATGAAGTCAAATATGTAAGGGTATTTTTGTCCTTTTAGTAAAATATTAACGGAAAACATAACAGAACCTAACGAAGGGTGGGAAAGTGTCATTTTGAAACTTGAAGGGTGGGAAACTGTCATTTTGTCATACGTTGGGTGGAAAATGTCATTCTCCCTTTTCAATTTCGAAGTTCACTTTATGGAAGTTAGTAACAGGAGATTTTCTATAGATGAGATTCCATGTGTGTGCCGGACTCTTTCTTTTGTTTTATAGTCCAAGATTCTTCATATACTTTACTGAGAGAAAATAAGCAAAGCTACTGGCCAAAAGAGAAGTCTAATTAATCAGTGGCAAAACTAAAAACAAGTGCGTCAATTTTGAGATGTTACTTTTGATTAATGCATAAAATAACATGCTTGTGAAGAAAAAAACAGTTAAAAATATACTGCTGAATCAAAAGGTTTACATGGACCATATCACATAATTTTGATTCCTATTAGTTCACTTTCTAGAATTTTAACTTGTGAAGTAAGGTTGAGGGCATGGAATGATGTAATGTATAATGAAAGCAAAATCCACTATAGAGGTTCTGGTTCCAAATTTTTCTTGCTTTATTTTTCTTATAAAAGTACACTTTCATTCATTTCTTATTATTGTACAACATGATTATTCCTGAAAATAAATAAAGAAAAAACTCAAGGAAAAAAAAAATTTCGAAGATTTTTTGACGAAATCACGAAGATAATGTTTTTTTTTTGCTAATACGGATAGCCACTGGAATTTTTACCTGGTCAACAGTTCTAAGATCCCGAGAGATTAGTTAGGGTGTGCTTAAGCTAACCCAGCACCCTCGGTTATAAAAAAAAAAGAATAATGCTTTTTTTTTTTTTTCTATACGTGTCAATTATAAGTTTGGATGGTCAAGTTTTATTTCATTCAACTATCAAATATAGCTTCTTAATATGCATCTAAAAATTTTAGCATCATTTTTTTTTTCCACTTTATCGCACAAGTTTCCTCTTCTTGACGTTAAGCCGAAAAAAAAAAAAAAAAAAAGAACCTTGCCGAGCCGGGTCCATATATCCAGTATTACACACGTGCAGGACATAAAATCTACAAGTGTTTGGTCATTCAGTCTAACGCGATGGCTAAAAATATGAACGTGTGAATGAGAGTTTGAAAAGGCATCAAAATTCTACAAGTATTTAAAGTTTTAATTTTTTTTTTTTTCTTGAATATGAAAAAGATTTCCAACAAATATAGCACTTTAATAGGTCGACGTTGCCATTCAATTTATGATTTCAATAATTAATGTCCAAACTATCTCCACCTACAGCCTTCGGGCTTATCTAGAAGGTAGATCGATCATAATCTAAACATTCTTTTCATCTCCTGCTTCCAAATTTTTTTATGATAATACGGTTAGAAAATTTAAGAATTTAAATAAATTACAATGCAGTTTATTCATGACATAATTAAGCTAGATGGTGCGTACAAATCAAACTATATAGCTAGTTGCTAGTCTTCCTGATAAGTTTAGCATTGTACTCAGCAATCCAAAATTCAATGATTTTGATCTCTTTCTCTCTCTGTGCAATCAACCAGTCCGGATCAGTTGAATTAGGAGTAAGTATGTCCAAGCAGTGGGCTCCTAATGCCAGAGAAATTCGTAGTCAAAATATTGAACAAACGATGAAAAGGAAATTTTTTACACTTTTAAATTTATACCTTCATTTGTATGTACAGCTACAACAGTATCAGATATGTCCTCCAAAACCCTGCAGTTTAAGTAAAGATAAATTAGTTTGATGTAATAGAATGAACAATATTATGAGCTGAGCAGAAGTGTTGAGAGACTTTTGGTTCTTTACCCTCCAGAACTATATGGGTCTCGGAGTCCATTGGAAAATATGATGTTGCTTGCAAAATTTCCAAGTACAGATTTTATATCCTGCACGTGTAATACTGGATATATGAGTTTCTTGTTTAGATGATTATGTGGTGATTCTAAAAGGAGTGAAAATATAAACCGAATTGAAAATATTATTATTGTTCAAGGTATAGAAAGTTTACATGGCCACCAAATTCTGTAGTAATCCAATGCGGTCTTGGGGCTATGCCAAAAAGAGCTTGACATGTTTTGGTATATTTATCCATGTCAAATGGCGATGGTTGGAACATTGTATTTGTATTATTCACTCCAATCCCAATTGGAATTACCAACTCAGTACATGTCTGAAACACACAACACAAGCCATTGCGCCATGGAAATTGAAATAAGAAATCGTTATGAAAATTAAGATATCTTGTACAAAAAATGATGCAAATGCTATAAAGATTGCAAAGAAAAGGTGCGTAAAGCAAATAATAAACAATAAATTTGATTGACCTCCCCTAACATATAGAAGTTCTAAATGCAAACACACTCATAAATATACGTTGTTGATGGCAGTAATCGTAGGTTTTTGGGCTGTAAAGTAGAGGTCCAAAAAAAAAAAAAGCAGCCCACAATGATAGCTATTTAACAGATATGTCCAAAGCCTGATTGTGCATATGATAGAGAAATATATAATATATATTTTTGGGTAAGTAAGAGAGAAATATTTTAGTCCTTATGGTTTCAATCCACTACGTTGAGGGCACTTTTATTTTTCACTGGCAAAATAGTCCCTAAAAAAGGACAGTGTTAGTTTGAATTTGACAACATAAGGGTATCTTAGACTTTTCGTGCACATGTTTAGACTCCTTCCAATGAAGACCTTTTAGAGCTCCTGAACGATACCATTTGTGATGAATGACAAAACGATAGCCAATCAACGATAGACTTTGGTTCAACACTAATAACATTGTTGGTTGAGACACTACTAATGGTGGAGAGATAGCAAAGACAACGACGGTTGAGGTGACAGAGATGGAAACAAAGGGAATTAGAAAAAAGTAAAGTAATGGCTAGCTTTGATTAGGACCCGACCCAGCCCGACTAGTTTAACTGGTTAGACCAGAACTCGGCGCCTTCACCGGTTTAACTGACAAAGGCAGAAAATCGGCCCTCAAAATTACAAACCCCTTGCTCCTTCTACCCACCCCCTCTCACATTCCGGCACTTTCTCCCTTATTTTGGCGGATTCCAATGCCTAAAATCACCTTGAACCCTCCAGTGGCCTCACCAACATCTCCCCACCGCAAACCCCAACACCCCGGAGCTTGATTGCTCATCGATCGCCGTCAACCACCCTTAGGGTTTCTCGATTTTAATTTTTTCAATCGTTCCCGCTACCAAAAATCACCCCTAACCCCTCCATTTACCTCATCAGCATCTCCCCACCAAAACCACCATCATCCCAAAGTCCAATTGACCATCGATCATCACCTATCTAAAGGGGTGTTTTTGCTGGACTAGCTTGCACAAACCTCAACTAATCCCCAGAATCTATTAAACACCCTACAAGCTCAATGAACCAGGTTGTGGTAGGTAGTCCCAAAATTTGAACCTATGAACTTAAGGAAATGAGCAAACTTCCTTGACCATTAGGTCAATCCCTTATGGGTAATTCTACCTAAGTTTTACCTAAACATATACTGCTATTATTTGTGGTTAATTAAAATAATAAAACTAGGAAATAAATATTAACCAATGATTAGGAACCCAGCCCGGCCTACCCGATTGAACTAGTTTCTACCTAAGCTTTTGAAGAGGAATGACCAGTGAGTGGAATAGTGGCGATGGAGGTGATTTCCGATGAGTAAATCGACCGGAAATCTCAAAAATAAGTTGCCAGAAAAAGCCCGTTGTTGCTGGCGATTGGGAAGGCTAACGGGGGAGGGGTGAGATGGGTTTTGTTTAGGAGGCTGAGGGGAGTGTTTTCGTGGTGATGGGGAGTGTTATTGTTGTCAAAAACAGACCCTATTTGCCTACACCGACAGTGCTGTTTAGGGTGTTTTTGGAAGATTTTAAACCTATGCGGGTCGGGTTTCAGAACATTGATCTTAACCACAAATAGTTAAAAATGTACATGCACCATTAAATCTTTAAAAGACTAGAAGAGGATCATAATTTTCATTTTTTACGTTACGAGATTGAGAAAAAAAAGATAGCATGATTGTTCTGAATACCTGCCAATCCCACCCACTCTTATTATCTCGTTGAAAGTCAAGTATATAATTGCACTGTCTTCCACCGAAAATACTAGAGTTGAGACCAGCAGCAATTTTGGAGAGAATATAAGTTCGTTGCGGTGCTCCATCGATGGCACTGCACACCGTACTCACTGGATAATCAGGTGGATTATCATACTGAGCGGAAACCATGTACATGTTTTCTAACATGTCCTTGAGCTCTTTTGACGAATTTAGAGGGCTTAAAAATGCGTAGAACAAAGAGAAACAAAACAACATCAATCAGTTTTTCATCAAGTGTTATATATATCTTCTGTTTTAGAATTGATTTGGGGTCTAACTGATTACTTGCAAGTAGTGAAAATATTGCTTAGGTTCTGAAGACCATTTGCCTGGGCTGCAACTCTATCAATTTCACACCAGGACTCTTTTATTGTGTTGTAGCAATTCTCGCTAGTATCCTGCATTACCCAACAATTGTCATGTAAACATACATATACCATTTTCTTTTTTTTTTTTTCAAAAGGTTAGAAAAGCTAACTGTTAGTAGTTACATCATTTGAAATTCAGGATAGATAAATTAATGACAAGTAAGTTGTCTTTTGTGTGAAAATTTCTTACCCTGAAATCCTTGGTGACAACAACAGGGTACCCATCTTGAGGTGTAATGTCGACAAAGTAGAGAATTGGTGCTGACGATGCCAGTGCTCCCATAGCAACATGAGGATATTTCAGGCGTAACCAAGATGCAAGCACTGGATTTTTAAGAATAAAATAATTGACTGTCAATTAAATAATCCGTTATGCGATCTCGACAATGCTAGTATGGGCAGTGTTTTGGTAGAAATTAGTTGTTTAACTCACTTCCGCCATAAGATCCCCCAAGAGCAATAACAGGGCAGTTTTCTGCTGACAGATTCTTTTTAATATCAAGGATCAACTGCGCATAATCTGCCAAAGCTTGTGTTGAGCTGAAGAATCCAAGAGTACTGGAATTTCGGAACGCTTCATCTTCGGATCCAAATGGCATTGAGTCACCGTAATATCGATGCTGTATAGTTTTGTAACAAGTCATTATCGTTCATTTTCCGGCAGATTAAGTCTTTAATTAAGATATAAGATAATGGCTTTTTTTTCCAAGTCGTCCTTAAATCCAAGTATAATATTGTTAAAAGCATTTGAGAAACAGAGCAAGTGATGAAGATTTAGAACTCATCTTCGTCAAATTATATGTATAGCATGCATGTCATCATCTACATTGGCACCCATTAGCGGACAACTCTATGTTTATAATCACCATCAATATTAAACGTCTTAAATCGTTTGTTAATTAAACACTTACTCACCTCTATATACAGCAGGAGACCTTTAAAACGCGAAGCAAGATCAATAATGAATCCAACAAAAGGGATGTCCCTGGTAATTGGAGCCTCCTCACCTGTATAGACGAAGATGGGAGAGCTAGTATTTGCGCCACCCCAGTACTTGAAGTTGATAATGTACTTCTGGTTGAAGGTGGCATAACTCTCTGGTTTATAATTAAAATGATCCAGCGTTTGCGTGTAATTATATGCAACAAAGTCTGATGGGAGATCTGAGTAAGAGTTCTCATCAGTTGTCAAAGATTTCCTCATTATATGAGATCTTAATGGCCTCGGATATGTTGCAGTTACATTTACTTGTAATGTTGAGAACACGATAAGTAACAATGGCAGAAGTTGAAATAAGAATTTCAATGCCATTTCGAGCTGTGGACTTCAGGTTCTTCCTACTCTCCTAAATTTGGAGATCATATATATAAGAGCTTCTAGCCGTTTGTAACATATGCCTTATTTAGCCTCTTGGTAACTAAAATCTCTGGAAAACGCTTTTGACGGTTTTTACAAGGAAAGAAGCTGATAATATAAACTATATCATAAAAATAATAAAATTTACATATAGTTAGGTTTACACAAGAGTACAAATTCTAAGAGATTAATTACTATAGTGCATAGCAGGCCATTGCTCTTTGTCTCATATTATTGCAATTTCACCAGTGTATTCATTCATTTAGGGAGATATCTCTCTTGATCATCGAAAGGAGCAAAAAGCCTCGAGCTAAAAAGCCTCTGATATTTTAGAATTATTTGTTCTTCTAGATTGGCTAACAGCTAGCATTAATGACTTTTTAACTATTACGGTTGGCCCAGGCCAAATGACACAATTAAGCATAGCATAGCATATAACAATTATATATATATATCTCCCTGTGTGTGTTACTGTTGGCCAATGCTGGCCAATGCTGGCTCCGCAAGTGAGCACAGAGGTTTATTAGAAGGAGTCAAACAGGATACGTTAAATTCAGTTTTGGAAGCTATTTGTAGAAGAATTTCTTGGATGAGATTCCACATCCTGTAAATTTTCTACTTCGTTAATGTAGGAAAGCTATCTAGATTGACCATTAAAAAAATTGATGAAGAGACATCACATAACCTGAAATTTCGATATTAATTATCGGATTCATCTTTGATGTACTCGCAATAATTAATGAATTGACCTTGTGATATAATGTTTAGGGGTGTAAGTAGATTTTTTTTTTTTTTTTTTTTTTTTATTTATGATCGAGGGTGTTCGGACTAGTTTGCGCTCATCTCAACTAATCTCTAGAAATTTTAGAATAACCAGACGAATAAGAACTCTAGTGGTCATCCCTATTAGCAGCCGTGAGGACTCGAACTCAGGAGACCATATTAGATTTTTCTCTTGCTCTTTTACCATTAAAATGACTCAAATTTAGAAGACCATGTTAAATTCTACTTTTGTTCTTTTACCATTAAGTCACTCAATAGTGATTTTTTGGAGTGTAAGTTTGAGGCCATTGGATAAGGTAATTGTAACTTCTTAATTTGTCAAGTGAAGTTTCCTAGAATAGTAGAATTAATATGTTAACATTAGGCTAATTAAATAATAGCCAGGAACAGTGTTACTGTTGTATAATGTTTTAGGATAAGCTAATAGAGGGATATATATTGACATGTAACATTAGGCTAAACGGATTAAGATTGTTTTGCTTGATAAAATCTTGATTACTTTTCAATACATAAAATTTTTATTTTAAACATTAAAATTTTTCTTTAAAAACCGTTTGAAGAAAAAGAAAGACATATAAAATCATATTTTTATCCTCATTTAATTTGATTATGGAGTTTACTGATAAAAGAGATAGAGTAGAGCATTTGGGCTGATCTTCAAGGTAGGTTTACTATAATCTAAACCATGGTTGTCAAATCGCGTATCGTATCGTATATCGAAAACCTAATTTTTTGAATCATGTATCGCGTATTGTATCGTATCATAAGATATGCCTTTTTAAAAAAAAATTAATAAAATAATCAAAATTTTCTAAAAATTAATATCATCCCCAAGATTAATTAAAGAATTTTATGGTATTATTAGCTTTAAATTATGATATTACATAATCAAAATTAATCACAAAATTAAGAATCTATATCATTTTCTCTCAACTTTTCATATCATTTCCAAGATCAATTTCAATATCTATATCTCTATTTGTATTATTATTATCATATAAAATGGGCAACACATGTTCCTCTTTACTTTCTCCATGTAAAATGGGTAAATTTGAGCAAGTTTTAGTGAACCGGGTTGGGTGACTCGATTCCGACCTGAAATTTTTTTTGAGCCTTTGACTCAAGTTAATAAAGTCGTATCGATTTATATCGATATTTTTAAGGATACATATTAACATATCGAAAGATTTATGATACACTTTCTAATGCGTATTGTTAACGACCTGTATCGAATTGTATCGTATGATACATATCGGATATTATAGGATACTAATAACCATAATCTAAACATTCAAAATATTTATGGTAACACAGTTAGAAATTTAAGCATATATGTAAATCAATTACAAAGCACTTGATTCATCTCATAACATATACGTGGGTACTTATAAATCAATCTAGTTGCTAGTCTTTCTGATAAGTTTAGCATTGTATTCAGCAATCCAAAGTTCAATGATTTTGATCTCTTTCTCTCTCTGCGCAATTAACCAGTCAGGATCACTTGAAGTAGCAGTAAGTAAATCCAAGAAGTGTGCTCCTGATACCAGAAGAGTTCCAAGTCAAAATATTAAATAAAAAAGAAAAATTGTAACACTTCAAATTCGAATATAAATAATATACCTTCATTTGTGTATACAGCTACAACAGTAGCAGATATGTCCTCCAAGACCCTGAAGTGTAAATAAAGATAAATTAGCAGTTTGATGAAAAATAATGAACAATATTATGAGTTGAGCAGGAGGGCTGAGACTTTTTGTTCTTTACCCTGCAGCACTATATGGGTCTCGCAGTCCATTGGAAAATATGATGTTGCTTGCAAAATTTCCAAGTACCGATTTTATATCCTGCACATTGTATATTGAAACAATCATATACTTGATATATGAGTTTCTTTTTTATGGTTATTTATTGATTTTAAAATGAGTCTGAAAATGAAAAAAGAATTGAAAATGTTTACATGGCCACCAAATTCTGTAGTAATCCAATGAAGTCTTGGGGTTACACCAAAAAGGTCTTGACAGGTTTTAGTGTAGTCATCCATGTCAAAAGGCGATGCCTGAAACATCGTATCATTCTTTCCGTTTCCAATCGGCATTACCATCTCAGTGCACCTCTGAAACGCGTACAAGCCATTGCGCCAAAGAAATTAAAGATCATTAGAAAAAAATTATGCGAGCTGCTGGAAGTAATGTCAGCAGAATGCTATAAAGAGTACAAAGAGAAGATCCAAATAAAGAAAATAACAAAAAACAAATTTGATTGACGTCCCTTGATGTAGATCATTACTGTTGATTGATGTAGTTGCAGGATTTTGAGTTTGAAAAAAAAAAAAAAAAAAAGCAGCCCAGCATGATATCTCTTCCACAGAAATTTCCACACCCCATGCATATATGCATTTGAGAGATAATATAGAGGGAGAAGCCATATAACCAGAATATTTAAAAATGAGGTCAACAGAAAAAATAAGACTCGAATGTGTTGATCCAAATCCAATCAATTGTGTCAGAAAACTTAAACTCCAAAATTTCCTGTAGCATTTTTTTTAATAAGATATGTAGAAAGCCAAAATAACATAATCATTCTGAATACCTGCCAATCCCACCCACTCTTATTATCTGGTTTAAGGTCAAATATATCAGTGCATTGTCCTCCGCCAAAACGACTAGCATTGACACCAGCAGAAATTTTGGAGAGAATATAAGTTTCTTGCGGTGCTCCATCGATGCCACTGCACACCTTACTCACTAGATTATCTGGTGGATTATCATACTGAGCCGAGAACGTATACACTGCTCGTAAATAGTCCTTGAGTTCTTCTGATGAATTTAAGGGCCTGTAAAATGCATAGAACCCAGAGAACCACAACAACATCAATCAGTTTTTCATCAATTGCTATACATGTTTTTTGTTGTAAACTTGATTTGGACTCTCATTGATTTACCTGCAAGTATTGAAAATATTGCTTAGGTTCTGAATACCATTTGCTTGGGCTGCAACTCTATCAATTTCAGACCAGGATTGTTTTATAGTGTTGTAACAATTCTCGCTAGTTTCCTGCATCTCCCAACAAGTGTAAATAAAAATACTCCATTTTCACCCAAAAAAAAAAAGAAGCTATTTTCTGTTCTATAAATGAAAAAAAGCCAAAAACTGATCTGAAAAAGCAGAGTGTTAGGTACGTCATTTGAGAACACGGAATTCTAAAGCACAAAGGACTCATAGGGATCTCATATCTTTTTTAAATTAAACTTCAAAGCCTGGATATTTAGCAAGCACAAAAAAATCATTTTTTTCTATCTCTACAATATCAGTTTCATATGCGTTTTCACTGTTTGGTTCTTTTAAAGTTAACAGTTCGATATTTTTGTTTTCAGATCCTACAATACATAAAATTAATTTTATAGAGAGGCTTATATATATATATATATGTAAGTTAACTAGCCAGACTCGCCTATATAAGGACAATGTTGTGTGTGTTAATTTCTTACTCTGAAATCCTTGGAGATAACAACAGCGTATGCATCTTGAGGTGTTATGTCGTCAAAGTAAAGTATTGGTGCTGATGACGCCAAAGCTCCGATAACAACATGTGGATATTTCAGGCGTAACCAAGATGCAAGCACTGAATTTTAAGAATAAAAAAAAAATGAAACAGAGACCATTAACATATAACATAGTGATTGTTAGAATGCCAGTATGCGACATTGTTTTGGTAGAAGTTAGTAGGTTAACTTACTTCCTCCATAAGATCCCCCAACAGCAATAACAGGACAATTTTCTGCTGACAGATTCTTTTTAACATCGATGATCAACTGCGCATAATCTGCCAAAGCTTGAGTTGAGCTGAAGAATCCAAGAGTACTGGAATTTCGGTACGCTTCATCTGTGGATCCAAATGGCATTGAGCCACCGTAATATCTATGCTGTATAGTTTTGTAACAAGTCATTATCGTCAATTTTCCAGCAAGAGTTTTGCCATCTTGTCACCCACTAGCGCAGAAAACTAATGTAGGCTTATGTGGTTCTTTTTCAAATTAATTTCACGATACAATGGTCTATAATATGACACTCAGATCCTTCAAACAAACAGAAAGCTTGTAGCATCCAGCGAGCAGAAAAAAAAAAAAAAAAAAAAAGGAAAGAAGTTTAACTGTATATTTGTCACATCCTTACCTCCATATACATCACCAGACCTTTAAAATGCGACGCAAGATCATTAATGAATCCAGCCAAAAGGACGTCTGAGGTCACTGGAGCCTCCTCACCTGTATAGACGAAGATGGGGGAGCTAGTATTTGCCCCGCCCCAGTACTCGAAGTTGATGAAGTAGTTCTGGTTGAAGGTGGCATAACTCTCTGGTTTATAATTGAAATGATCTAGCGTTTGCGTGTAGTTATATGCGACTATTTCTGATGTGATTTTGTCGGAAGATCTCCCCATTTGATGAGATCTAATCGACCTAGGATATGTTGCAGTTACATGTACATGTAATGTTGTGAACACGAGTAACATTGGCAACAGTTGAAATAAAATTTGCAATGCCATTTTGAGCTGTGGACTTCAGGTCCTGAAGTTCGGAGATCATATAGATGTTAGTTTCAGGGGCTTCTCGCCGTTGTTATATATATGTTCTTGTTTTCTTCGTCATCAATTTAGAATTTCTGGAAAAGAAATTTGGTCTTTACGAGGTAACTATATACTCTTTATCAATTAATAACCATATAAATTCTATTAATTAATAGATAAATCAATAATTTATTGATTTATAGAGTATATTTACAATTCTATGAACATATATTTGATCAACTAAAAATTCATTATATTGTACCAATCTAATCAATTGAATATAAATTAATCCATTAAATATACGTTAAAACATTAATTTAAATTCATTGTACTTATGTATTTAATTAAATAATATTCATGGTCTATAATAAATTCATTATACTTATGTGCTTAATTAAATAATATTCATTGTATATAATTGCATTGATTTAATTAGATATATTTATTCAACAAAAAAATATGCATCTATAATTTTAATTGAATTAAATGTATTCATTGTACTTGATATCTTTATTTGTATTAAATGTATTCAACGAAGCTGAGGATGATACAATAGCTTTGGAACCTGTTACGCGTAAGGAAAGCACTTAAAGCATCAACAACATTTTTTAATTTTTTATTGCAATTCGAGAATTCAACTCCATAACTTTTAGATATAATGAGAAAAATTTTAAGAAAAAACAAATAACAATAAAGTCATATTTTAATAAAATATCATAATCAATTAAAAAATTATTTATTTATGATATGAATGGGACTACATAATCATGTAAAATTTTCTAGAAAAGTACTATTTTATTAATTTAACATACCAACCCAAGTCGGACCGTAAGAAATTATTACATGATACATATTATTAATTTATAGAAGTTATACTATAATTAGTTAATAATGCGTAAGTGCAAATTCTAAGAAAGGATTGATTCCCATGGTATGTAGCCGACCATTTGTTCTTTTGAAATGGCAAACAGCTTTAAATTTTATAATTTATAATGGTTCCAGTTGGGCTACGCCGGAGCATAGTAAATAACAATAACATAGTACAAAACCATAGAGGTTTAATATTTGACGGAGAGAATGAAGATATATGTACGTGACCTTATATGTTTTTACAGCTGTTTATAGAAGAATTTTGGGAAGAGGTTCCACATTCCTCTACATTCTCTTCCTCGTGCAAAGAAATGCAGGAAACAATGTTCATATAAATCTTTAATTAAGATCAAAATCAACTATTAGATGCTTATAGGAGTAGAAGAAACAATGCCAATTTTAATATGTAATTTAGTAATTAGAAATACCTGCCATTCCCAGCCCCTACCGTCCTTGCCATCGTCATCGGTTGGTGCATACTGTTACTGGTGGGTTATTGTTCTGAGCTGCCGTACTGTAAAAATCCTTCAAGGCCTCCTTCAATATATCAGTACTATCAAAAGGGCTATTCGAAGAAAATACAAGACATTAGTACCAATCAAAACCTTAATAATCAAGAAAAATATATATCCAGTCCAGTTTATGCTATGTCCTGCAAGTTTTAAATTTCTTGTTTAGCTTTGAAAGGCCATCGGGCATAGAACCGATTCTATCAATTTCAGACCAGGAATCTTTTATCCTTTGGTAGCATGTTTGACTAGTTTCCTACAAAACCCCATAATATCTTCTTGTCAATATCATATTTGAAGGGAAGAGGAGTTGATAAAACGAAAAAAGAAATTAGTTTTTATATGAATATATTACTCTATAAGCGCCAGAGACAACACCATAATATGTAGTCGGTGTAGTAACGTTATCAAAATCCAGGACAGGAGCAGAGGAGGCCAAAGCTCCAAGCACAATATGCGGGTATTTAAGCCGAAAATATGAGGCCAACAATGGTAAATAAAAAAAAATGGTTAAACAATAGTTATTGAATCCATCATTCTCAAAAATGCAAGGATTTTTAACAACTTACTTCCCCCATATGATCCCCCAAAAACAATCAGTGGACAATGTTAAGCTTGATATTTTCTCTTTATAGTTGAGAGTATTATTGTATAGCCTTCTAAAGCTTGAGCACAACTGAAATATCCCATAGTGCTTGAATTCTTCAGAGATTCTTCTCCATAAGGCATTGATTCCCGTAGTATCGATGCTGATGAAAAATTAACAAGACTTAGACAAAATTTCTGGCATATCCAAAACTAAGGGAACTAATAAACATTCAATTTTAATGTAACAGTAATAAATGGTGTCAACCCTCAATAAATACCAGAAGGGCTTTAAACTGGCAAGCGATATCCTTTACAAATTTGTCAAAGTCTATTTCTTTTTCCAAGGTTTGTTCAGAGCCCATATATGCAAAGATTGGTGCATTAGCTTTTGCTCCGTCCCAGAACTTGAAATTTATCATATATCTTTGTTTAAAAGTAGAGGTGCTTTTCAGGGCCGAAGGTAAAGTGATCAAGTGTTTGTATGAAGTAAATGTCTTGAACTCCTTATCCACGGAATCAGTTGATGATAGGTGTCTTCCAAAAGCTATAAGCCTTGGAACAAACTTGAAACTTGTAGCGGTAGAGGAGAATGACTGTTGTGTGTGGTTTTTCCACCAAGCTCAGGCGACGCGAGGATATAGCTCGACCCAGAATGACCTCGGTGATCAATCGACCCAGCATAAGCTCGTCGAGCCGTAGCTCGACCCAACACAAGCTAGTCGCGGACAACCCGAATGATCATTCAATTGATTCCTAAATAACTTCAGATCCCAGATATTACAGAAACGATCAGATTAACAGCAATCTTTGAGCAATCATAGTGCCCAATCGCGAGAATATCGGAGTTGAAGTTCAAATCAATTGTAATCCCTTTATTTTCGCTCTTTCCTTTATATAAATCTTGTATATATACCCCCTGAAACGATGAGGAGGGGGGATACGAATTCTAGATTAAAACTACATTGTAAGCTCTCACAGTATATAAGCAAAACACAGTAGATGTAGGCAGTTTAACTTCGCCAAACCACTTTAAAAGTCCTCATTGTCACTTATTTTCTAGCATTCCCATTCACTCATCGCTGATTACCTGTAATCACGCACACATCAGTTTCGATCTCGACAAGGTTGATTGGATCTCGCTGGTTGGTGCAGATTTCTGTATCAACATTTTAGCGCTAGAAGGAGAGCTTCAACCTCCGCCACTATTCCAAAGATCCTAGCAAACGTTCACCGCGATTTACCTATCCTAGGACCAAAATGGTGTTCACGAGATCAAGAACTACCACCGAAAATCACGAGAACACAGAAGCCGCCCACCAGAAGGTGCAACAGGAGAATGTTGGATGCCGACCACCTGTGCCGCCGGCTTAGCACACTACAAACAATCAAGGGGCAGGGACATCAAATCCCGAGAATGGTCAGTTGATGGAGATGATCAGAACAATGGTTGCATAGGTGGTGCAACAAAATGTGGCTGAGTTGAGGAACCAACAACCAGTCATCCAGAACCCTGACCAGTTGCGCTTCACAAACGTTACCCCAACAGGTATGAATTATGCAGGTTGACAATCCGTTTCGTCACCGCTAGGGGGCGATCAACACCGCCAACCCCGCAGGCAACTGCTCACGCACGAGCGAGAGTCTCGCGGGCAAACAAACCCTGGGAGGCGGCCAAGGAAACAGCCGTTGAGAGAAAGTGAAGGCGACAGACACCACCGAGAAGCTCGGCGGTATCCCCAACGTCAGCGTGCTGGTTTTAACCCACGCCAAAGGCAAGATCGATCTTCGCAGGCTCGCAAAGCGAGCCATGTGCGTCATTCTGCCAATGACCAACATTTTGGTTATGACTGACGTTGCGAGCAACGCACTGATGAGCATGATAGTACATACCAACCCATCCATCATGACTCGACCTCGCGTATCAACACACGCATCAGAGGAGCTCTGCAAGCAACAGACTTGCGAACCCACTTGCTCGAGGGACAACTTAACAAAGCCAACCAGGGGAACCAAAATGAAGACTTGGATCGCATGCAAAAGATGCTCGCAAGGCTCCGCTCCCACAAGGATTCAAGGCACTAGAAAGCAAGTTCAACAGGAGAAGGGACCCCAGATATCACAACAATAACTTTAATGACCTGATGAAGCTGCATCAGGTTAGTGACTTAGCAAAATGCCGGTGCTTCGCAGTCACAATAGTCGGAGATGCCAAGAGGTGGTACAAGCCGCTCATGGTGAACTCCATCAACTCCTGGCAAGAATTCTCTGTGCTATATCTTTAGTAGTTTCAGGCAAGGAGATAGTTCATAATGCTGCTCAGCTACTTAAGAAATATTCGCCCAGAGCATGATGAATCGCTAACCTCCTATTTAACGAGGTTCTAGAACGAGCAGGCAAAGGTCGTTGATGCCCCTGACGAATCCATTCGGACTCTCCTGATCGTAGGGATCAGACCTAACAAAGAGTTGTGGAAAGAGCTCTAGAGCGAAGACCATGTGAGTCTGGCCAAATTCTACCAAATGGCTGCAAAATACCAACGAGTAGAAAGCTCGTTAGAGGCATTAGCCGGAAGCTCGACATGGGGGGTCTTAGACAAGAGACAAGATCGCCCCTCGGATAAGCGTGGGGGCCAAGACCAAAGCGACAGGGATCGTAATAGATTCCCAAAGAAACAGAGAATAGATAACCGCGGAGACAGACAGTTTTCCCGCGGTACGCAGAGTACACCCCCCTTACTCAAGACATTTTTCACATCTTTGAGGTATCCCAAGAGGCGAAGAGGTTGCCTGCTCTGGAAAGAATAAAGGGGGCTTTAGGGAGAAGAGATCGACAAAAATACTGTCGATATCACAGGGATGTCGGGCACAATACGAATGGATGCGGTGCTCTGAAGGATGCCATCGAGGACCTGATAAGAAGAGGTCATTTGAAAGAATTTATTAAGGTAAAACCACCTCGAGAGAATCCTAGTGAGCAAAGTAACCTTGTCCCAAGCCAGACACAGACCCCGGGTCAACAAGTT